GTCTATGTCTTTATTTTTTTTTCGTCATAAAGCAGCTGAAATAATCTTATATTATAATATTATATAAAATATTATAATAGGTATATAATATATATATATACATATATATAGGCAGATCCCACGTTCGTTTCGTGTGACTGGACGACAATAATTGAATATAATATAGGACCATCTGCGAACCGACCTTGAACCAAATGCAAATTCAATAATAAGAGCTTGGACTAGTTTCGTATATACGTATTGTTAGTGCATTTATATGGTGCCACCGACTGTATCGTGTTTCCCGAAACGCTAACTTTCAAGGCATTATCTGTAGTTGGTATGAGTATAATAGATACACCATCAACGTATTCGAACAATAATACGTATGATAATATTATAATATGTGCGCTAACATATAATGTTATTCATATTTTTGAAGTGTTATAATATAGTAGGTATAGCCAATGTCCTATTATAGAGATAAAGAGATAAATTGAAAATAAAATTATGTTTCATATTGTTCTGTCGAAATTTAATAACACTATAGTCCCACGTATACTTCAGTGAAGTTAACGGCGTGTAACGATGATTATACATTGTGTATTTTATAAACAAATAATATAATAACATCATATTTGTTACATATCACCGCGAAAAATCATGATGGCGGGTCCCGTTTCTTCGGTGTCAAAACAAGTGTGCAMGTACGCAACGCTGCAGTTATACTGTTTTATTTCGATCATAATAAAGTTTCGCAGAGTCTCGGCGCTTTTTCGTTTGTAAAATATATCGACGGTGATAAAACTCGTCGTATGGCACTTGATGATATAGTAATAATAATATATAATATGATGATGATATCCCGCTCGGTACGCGATAACTTTAAAAATCTTTATTATTAGGTTTGTACATACGAGAGGGGCGATGGAATGAAAACCGACTGCGACAATCGTATCGTAATCGGGATATCGGCCGTCTGGAAAAATGAAAAGCTACGTATACTGTTTTAAAAGACGTCCGTCTTATATATTGACGACGAGTAGATAATATRTAATGTATATATTGTATATTGTATACATATATTGCACGGTATCACAATAAGGCTGTATAATTGCAACAGCACAATAACAAATATACCTATCGTTCCGCATTCGCCGTATGCGTACTGATGTGTAAAAATATGATGCATGTGTATGTGTGTGATTTGTCTGGTTATAAATTGTGACTGACGAGTAATTGTAAAATGTTCTCCGGACAAACCCATCACTATATATTATATAAATTGTGGGTGCATTATGCATAATGTTATATCAATATATTGTATTCGTTGCAATTTATATACATTTTCATCGTCGATTTACCCATCAACTCTTTAGTTTCTGCACATATACATTGTGGCAAGAGGTGCGTAGAGGTATTTTGAGAGCACATACAGTTAAAATAGATTAGTGATTACCAACTATTCATTTTTTTTTTTATATTCTTGCTGCATTCCATAATTATATTCATTCATTAATCACTGTAGTTCACGGAAATTAATTTAATATAGATTAAAAAAAAAAAAAGGTATGCTTTATATTATAAATTTATTAACTTTCCTGCAGTGACACCAGTAATTTACACCCACGGAGAGCACATTATGCAGCTGCAGTACTTGCTAACCCGTCTGGGTTCCATACATTGCGACTTACCTAAGTTGAACTTGGTAAGCCGGACTGTATTTTGGTACATTAAGTAAGGTACTTATATTATATATACATACGACCATCAATTTTTATCCATCAACTATACATACAGTTTTTGCACTTCTATACACGTATATAGGGGCGAATGGGGCAAGGATGGCATATATTTAATAGGAGTGTCAAATATTATTACCCTWGGATGTCAATGAAAGTTAGCACGACACTGATACGGTACTATAGTTCTAYCGAAATGTATTATCGGTGTGGTGTTGATATATTACGAGCGCACGGTGAATGATGTCCCGTGCAATCCCATCACAGCAGCTCCGAAGACTGTAACACCGCAAAGACTCAAAATCACATTTCTCGCATATACKTCATGTGCGTATTGGTTAATGGTAACGAAATCGGAACACAGGCCATAGTATACATTATCCGCGTGCATGCTACAAAAACAAAATGTCTTCGATGATATAACTGTATATATAAAATCTTGAACCCTTCAGGTGCTATCGGTACTATAATATTATTACCTATACATGTTATATGCTGTTTGTGTACCATAAATAGGTAGGTATATATACCGTGAACTGGAGTCGTATACGGTATACCATGATGTACTATAACATAGTTCATATAATCATTTCCGTAGTTGTGGTACTGCCAGTGTCGGATTATAAACTCCGGAGCAAAAGACAATTTTCTGGTATCTTTCTCTCTCTCTCTCTCTCAAAAAGACTATTCAGATATTATATTTACTTATTAAAAACACGAATTTATTATAAGCTACGTGTCTAATTACATATGTACATAAATTATAGTAAATAATGCAAAATATATCTTAATCCGTCTAAATAATCCATATATTATTATTTCTATTATAATTTATATTTAGTCCCAATATATTATATGATTTATCGTCTGTAGTCATCTGCACGCGGTACTTTGTTATTTTGGCAATGTCATTTAAGGTGGGCACTTTGATGYCCATAAGAATATTTGGGTCCTTAGACACTGTTCCAAAGCGACGGGGCCCCAGTGGAATGCACCGCCGTTTGTGCCCGCGGTTTATTCGGCTGTATATATGATGGGTAGCGCASTACCTTTCAAATGTATACATATTATAATGATGTAGCGCATTGTAGACGCGAACAATTGGGTCTAACAAACGCATATTGTTTTCAAATATGTTTTTTCAT